GGGATTCTCGAGATGGGTTTTGGGGGTCGATATTTAAGTTAATTATCGTCGGGGATTTTTTTTTTTTCGAAACTACGGGAAAAAAAAGAAGAAGATGGTTTTGGTTTTTCGAAGTTAGGGTTTTAGGGGTTTGTTCAATGTACGTTTCGACGATACTTTAGTTTACCCTTGAAATCATTTCTTCTTGAACTCTTTTGTATATACTCTCTCGTAGCTTTGAAATAAACAAAAACATTGATGATTTATATTACTTTACATACGTACGTATGATCTTTGCTTTATCATGAAACAATATTTCCGAGATTATGATCTCTAATTTGAATTTGATCATTTTTAACGTACCTAATAATGTATATTACTAACATTTGATTAATATAGTCATTGCCATGATTACTAGTACATATATGAAGAGATCTGAACATTTGTGGGGCTTCAGAAAACCCATGTGCTGATTCATATCATATTATCCGTTTTTCCTTTATCTGGAGAGAGGGAGAGAGGGAGAGGTTAACTTTAATTATGCACAAACCCCATTCTCTTAAAATGTACAAACGATAGAATTATCTCCCTTTTTCGATAAAAGGCTTTTTAAACAAACAATGGAATTACTTGGTCTTTTTAATTAAATGATCATCAGTTATATAATCAGAACGTTCAATCCTTGATAAATTAAAGTTTCAAAAAAAAAAAAACCCTGAAGTTTCAAAAAAAAAAAAAATCCTTGATAAATTAACATCGTTTAAAATAATGTGTAATTTATTTTGAAAATTTTAATATATTTTAAAAGAAAATTCAAGCATGCCAAAATAAATGGTGACAGGTAATACTGAAATTTGGCAGGAAGAAAAGGAGATTACAGCATTATATTTATTTTCCTAATTTTCGAAACTAAAAACTTTCAAATTATTTGTCATTTCATCAACCAAACTTTCCATTACTACAAGTAAATGATTTTGTTTCTATTCACCAAAAAGTCAATTAAAATTTAATCCTACTTTTATCCACCAAAGTGATAAAATTCCCCGGGTCTTTTTTAGTTTTGGGATGCGTGAACCGTTACAATAATTCAAATGTCACAATTATCACTTTCTCGGATTTCCTTCTCCTATGGTAATCTCATAAGAAAGAAATGTAAAATATCAAAATCAAAATTTAACTTTATAATATTATCTCGTTGTTTAATATAAAGAATCCAATGAACAAAAAGACTTTCAAAGTTTCCAAAAGCAAAATGAGTTAGTTACTTTGTAATTAACTAGTAAGATTTCGAGACTTGTGAAACCAAATTCAAAATTGAATACATCTATATATAAATGTATATGATCGTACGTAAAATGCAAGTTGAGGTGTAATCAAATCCCAACTTGTTATAGAAAAAACAAAGCATGCAAGTTGCAAGGAAAAAAATAAAAGTAGCTACTATTCTTTGATACCTTTTAAATATATATTCCATAAATAAATATATATGTTAAAATAAAAACAAATTGATTATATATGATCATTAATTTATTATCATAATGAGTACGAAATATATGTAAACATTGTCGTGGAAGGAAGGAATCGCAAGTTGAGGTGCAAGTTGGCAAGGAGGCTATTAATGTTTTCCCTCTTTTGGTCGTTTGTAAAATGACATTTAAACCCACCCACCTTTCTTATTTTTAGTTTTTTGAATCATCATTTTTACATATTATTATTATGACATTGTATAATCCCACAAGGGTTTTTCATATTTTAATTTTACTTAAAATGATAATATATGCATTTCCGTGTGAGTACGAAATTGTGACCAATCCAGAGAAATATGCTTATGCTTTTTGGGGTTTGTATATTCCAATGTGGCATGTTGCAGATAAAGTATTATCTAAATAGCTTCTTTATATTCAAATATATTTAAACATGCACAAAAGATTGTGATAACGTACATAGCTGTGATATGGGATGATTACATTATAAGGAAATATATATAAACATTACTTTTATAAAGCAATGGAAATAGTTCATATTTTCATATCGTCGACCATGTCTCCTAGCTGGACTATCTAAACTCATTAAATAAGAAACAAACTTTAAAATAAAATATAACTATACATCTTTAGTCATTTCTCATTTAGCCAATATCCACATATACATATAAGTGTCTGAAAAAGGCAAACAAAATTCAATATATGTATATAACAATGAAGAACACTCTCTCCCCCAAAAGTATTTTTTTTTTTTTTTGAACCTACCCCAAAAGTATTGGTTGAGGATAAAC